CTTGTGGGTTTCAAAATTCTCTCTTTGTCATCACTTTTAAAAATTTTATTATAATGTTTCTAGATGTAAACTTCTTTAGGTTTACCTATCACACTTTTTTTATTATAAATAAATATCACACCCACACACATGATATCTTAATGGGAGTATGACACACACAACTTATGTGAGTTTCATGCACAAGTATGATTAATATCATGCCAAGTTATCACACACAAACATGCAGTGCATTTTATGAAAAACTGCCACTCCTGGATAAGAAATAGCAAGTGGGTCACTTCAGCCAATCTTCCCCTGCCTTTTGCTTGTTTCTTTGCTTGACGTTCCAATATAAATTCTCTGATGAATTTTAAAATTAAGTCAAACACCACTTTTAACCTTTTTATTTATTTATTTATTTATTTATTTATATTAGTTATGTATATTCTTGATATGCAATGCTGATTGTTACACCTTGTGTCGTGCCAACGTTTTGAGGGCCAGATCCATACTGGCAGAATGCTTTTAAACATTTTAAATTTCATATTAAAAGTCATAACTTTTATTTCTATAAAATAAACCTCAGGTAAGGAAAAGAAAGTGTCCATGACACTCTGACTTTACACAAAATGATTTCCTAAGATGTAACTTTAACAGCAGCATTGGTTTGCCTTTTTGTGATACATATTTTATTACAACACTCATTTATTACAGGCAGAGAATCACTCAAACACAGCTGACACAGATTTGAGCTGAAGTGTCCACCTATGTGGTGCCATCAGAATTTCCGCTCATGGATAATAGGTGAAAACTTTAATAGAATTTCAATTATACATTCCTTGCTCATTCTTCAATTCAAATCCATTTACTTCCCAACCAACAGTGATATTTGCTTGACATAGTTAGATATAAAGTCTTGAAAGCAGATGTCAGGCCAACTTTAGGAAAAGTTTATTTTAATGTTATAATTTAAACTGAGGGGGGAAAATGAGTTACTATCAAAATGGAAATTGAAAGTGCATGATAACAGAAGCAGAGAATTCTAAGCATTTAAAACTCCACATTACCTTTAAAATAAAAGACATCTGAAGAAAAATAATTCTAGATAAATGTAAATACCTTTTCTAGACCTTTGAAAGTCATCATTAGAACACAGGGAGAAGGATGAGCAACAAAAGCAAAAATAAACTAATGGGGTCATATCAAACTAAATAGCTTCTTCACAGCAAAAGAAACTATCAACAGAGTGAAAAGAAAACCTATGGAAAGAGAGAAAATATTTGCAAACTCTACATCTGACAAAGGTTTGACATCCAGAAGGAACAAGCATCTCAAACAACTATACAGTGAAAACAAATAAATAAATAAACAATCCAATTAAAAAGCGGGCATAGGAGATGAATAGACATTTGTCAAAGGAAGACATAGGAATGGGCAGCAGGTACATGAGAAACGTTCAGCATCACTAATCATCAAGGACATGCAAATCAACACCACACTGGGTTATCATCTCACCCTAGTTGGACTGACCATGATGAAAAAGACTGAGAATAACGAGAGCTGGTGAGGTTGTGGAGATGGGAGAAATCTTCTTCAGCTGTGGCTGGGGCTGTAAATTAGTGTCACAATTTTGGAAAACAGTGCGGAGGTTCCTCAACAACTACAGATAGAACCAAAATATGATCCAGCAATCCCACATCTGGGTATATATAAAAAGGAACGTAAATCATGTTGAAGGGACACCTGCACTGCCATGTTCGTCACAGCTCTGTTTACAACAGCCAAAGTAGGGAACCAACCTATGTGCCCATCGACAAACAACTAGATACGTAACATGTGGTGTTTACACACAATGGAATGCTACTCACCTATAAAGAGGAATGACATTTTTCCATTTGCAGCAACATAGATGAGCCTGGAGAAAATGAAGTGGAGTAAAATAAGCCAGACACAAAAGGAGAAATGCCACATATTCTCCTTCATAAAAAATATGTAACGTTCTCATACCCCACTCTTTACCACCAAACCAGTAAAATGACAGTGGATTAAACCTGAAAGTTGCAAATGCTCAGACTCTGAGGAGAAGAGCTTAGGGAAGCCCAAGTCAACAGGAGAGAAACAATTGAAAACAGTAGGTAATTAGAAGACTCTGAGACCTACAACTAATACAGAACCTCAGCACCCGTCTCCCAGGCACTGTCCAGCTTGTGGTCACCCCAGGGTGAGACACGCGTGGATGACACCCTTCTCATGCAAGCACCGAGCTGACGTCAGAAGTCTGGGGCTATTTTAACGGGGCCAGGAAGCACATGTGTCTCCTAAACGGCACTTGTTAAGTGCAGCTCTTTCTTTCCTGAGGCTTGGGAACCAAAACTGCATTTCCCTCACCCTGTGGAGCCCACCTGTGCAGGTGATATAACGACATGATCCCCACGAGATTTGCACGCAACAGAAAGAAGGAGGCGCACAGTCCCATCGCAGTCACTGGCCCACAGAGGCTCTGACACCCCAGGCTCACTTTTCTACGTCCCCTGTTTCTAGATCGGCTCCTGCTTCTCTCCTGGGGAAAGGACCCATCCCACCCCTTCTGTGGCTCTTCACAGGGGTCCTGGCTGTGTCCCTGAGTATGTGGACCACCTGGGTTGTGAGTCTGATGCAAACTTCCCACAGAAAAAGGGTGTTCATTGTGGGTGCACTGACCGGGAGAGGCTCCTAGTGTTTGGCGCTCCATGGGGCGAGCTTGGTCCCTTCTCATGGGCATCTGCAGGGTTCCCAAGTTTTGGAGGAACAGACAAATCAACTGTGCATGCCCTTCCCAAGTCTCCATGAGCCCACAGGCCCGAAGTCATGCAGGGGAACTAAGCGCAGTCACCACCACGCCCTTGGCCAGGGCTGCCGCTGCACATGGCCAGTTTGGGACAGGAGCAGGGGAGCTCAGAGGCCTGAAAACCCCTGGAGAGTCCAGGGGAGCGCGCCCGCCACCTGCACGGAAGCCCCTTCTGCTGGAGCTCAGAGCCGCACTTGACATCGGGGCTCCCTGTTACATCATTGAATGGGGATCCCTCGGGTCATCCTGTGCACACCCCCCTCCCCTGGAGCTCAGAGCCTCTGACTCACACCCCCCACCCTGTGGACAGAGCAGGGTCTGCAGTCCCCTCCCCAGTACACACCTGGGTCCTGCCTCCTACCTGGGGCTCAGGGGTCTGTCTGAGGTAGAAAGCCCCCCAGCACCGTGGAGACCCTGCCAAGTGTGCGTTACACCTGCACTTCTGCCACCTTCCCGGGAGCCCAGTGTCCCCTCTGACACAGCGGCCCCTGCTCCCGTGGACAATGGGCAGGGGTCCAGCCCGCACTGACTACGGGGCCCTCCCAGAACCAACTTACTCAGCAGTGACATGCCACACACGATCTTGAATGGACACATCTATTTATTGGAAAACGTGCATGTCTGTCACTGCCATATTATGTAAATCTGATGTTGGTCAGTGTGACTGGAAATCTCCTTTATGGCCGAGTCGTATTCCACAGTGCATGTGCCACGTTCTCCTTGTCCAGTCATCAGTCGATGGACATTTAGGTTCAGTCCATATCTCAGCTGTTGTGAATAGAGCTGCGACGACCACAGGAGTGAAGGTGTCCCCTCCACATGATGATGTCACCCTATGTACAAATACCCAGCAGTGGGATTGCTGGATCATGTGGAAGATCGACCTGTAGTTAAGGAACCTCCACACTGTTTCCCGTAGTGGCTGCACCAATTCACTGTCCCACCAGCAGTGCAGAACAGTCCCTTATCACTGCAGACTCTGCAGCATTTGTGGCTCTCGGTCTTTTTAACAAAAGAATGAAATTCTGCCATTTCCAGCAACATGGATGAGTCTGGAGAAAATTATCTTAATTGGAATGAGCCAAACAAGGAAAGAGAAATATCACATGTTGTCACTGGTAACTGGGTGGAGAGAGAGAGAGAGAGAGAGAAGAAAAGAAGGGAAAGGCCAAAAGAATAAGGACACTAGAGATGGGGGAGGAAGGGAGGAGTTCGGGAAGTGGCATGATGGTAAAAGGGCATAAAGAAAAAGAATATGATTTTTAATACCGAATATAATAATAATAAAAAAACAAATAAAATAAAATGAAGTTCATGAAGCTGAAAAAGATCTTTAAAAAAAAGAAAGAGAAAGAGAAACCTATTTTACCATCTCCTGCCAGGTGATGTCCCGCCTGCCGGCCACTGTCTGAGGATAAGCAGAGTGGAGGCCACTGTGCAGGTCACACACATCTTCTAGCCTTTACTCCCACGGGGGCCTCTTCTCCAACCATGAAAAATTCCATGACTCTGTCCCAAACACAGTGACCCCGAATCCCTCTCTCCTGTTTTCCATGATTGTCCCCAGCCTAAACTAGGATGCAGCCACTTGTCAGGTATGACTGTGGCCTAGCCTTGATCCAGAGAGGACGCTGCCAGGGACGAGGTCCCTCTCATATCAGTGCTGGGACATGACTGCTCACATTTGCCACTTTCACAGATGGAGAACTTGGCAGTGGATCCAAGGAGCCTCCTCCAGGACCCCACATCTGCTTAGAGGTACAGCAGGACCCAAGTCACAGGCAGCAGAGCCCTTGACTCTGTGCACGTCCCTCCACTCCACATACAAGGACAGTCCCATGGGTGATACCACAGCCCCCTGATTGACAGCCTGACAGTGGAACAAGGGAGAGCCTGACCGTTTCCTTGCATGCTCGAGCACTGCAGGTATAACCCATCCAGAGCCAAAAGAGCTGAGGACAATCTGCCAAGGCTGACCCTCAATCATGAGGACAGGTACAGCAGCTCCACACAACACCCATCACCAGGGCACCATGAACTGGTGGGAGGCACCCAGCCTAGGCCTCTCATACCCCAGGACACACATGCAAATGACCCTGGGTGCTGGCAGATCAAAAACCCACCACAAGCTGGGGCAGTGTGGTGTTTTCATCCTGCAGGCACCATTCAGACTCTGGGGTTCCTTCTATGCCTGATGGCAGCTCCCCTGGGTGAGGGTCTTGGGGGTCTGCAGGTATTTACAGGGGCCTGAGTGTGGGATGGAACGAACAACTAACCATGACTCTCCTTGTCTCCAGGTGTCCTGTCTGAGCTGACACTGCAGGAGTCGGGCCCAGGACTGGTGAAGCCGTCGCAGACCCTGTCCCTCACCTGCACCGTCTCTGGGGGCTCTGTCACAAGTATTGATTGGAGCTGGATCCGCCAGCCCCCAGGGAAGAGCCTTGAGTGGATGGGATACATTAGTTCTGGTGGCAGCACAGGTTATAACCCGTCCCTCAAGAGCCGCACCTCCATCACCAGAGACACGTCCAAGAACCAGTTCTCCCTGCAGCTGAGCTCTGTGACCGCCGAGGACACAGGCGTGTATTACTGTGCCAGAGACACAGTGACAGGAAGTCAGCGTGAGCCGAGACACAAACCTCCATGCAGGATGAAGGACGGGTCTGGGCTGCAGGGGGCGCTCAAGGCCCACCCAGCTCCTGTGCCCCATGGAGCAGGTGCAGAGAGGGGATGGGGGTTCCTCTTGGGATCTGAGGTTTCCTCTGCTCTGCTGACTCCCAGATGTCCCTCAGGGTCATTTCCTGCCTTGTTCTCTGTGACTCTAATTTCTCACATTCTCACTGGAGGCAACACAGAGTGAAGTAACTTTCCTCGTGTGCAGATGAGATGTTTCCATTCACTAAGACCTTTCTTTTCTCAGGTTTTAACACAACCTGTTCTCTTTGCTGACACACAAATCATTGTAAAGATCCTTATCTTTCACTAATCAAGAACTTTTTTCCTAAAGGTAAGCTCAGTCCAGGTGCCCACTGTCCCTACGTGGGTCTTTTCCCTCAGTGATGCACACGTGTCCCCACCTGGCTATCATCAGCATCCATGGCCTCTGCCCATGGGTCCCTGCTCTGCCTGGGGCAGTTTCACCTCTGGATCCTCATCCACACTGTGGACACTGATGTTCAGGGTTTGTGCCACTCTCTGTCCAACGTCCAGTGTCCGGGACAGAAATTCAGCTGCCTGAGGGCCAGACACAGCTCTTATACTTGCATATGGAGGACTCAGGGGGACAAGCACAGAGATAAACACACATCATAGTCCCGCTGAACTGAATTTTCGGTCGAGTCTCTCAAGGTCCCCTTGGGAACTGTGTTCTAAGACTTGTGTCTCAGCTCCCATGGGGAGAATCTATTTGAGAGAGCTCCACAACCTATCCAGTAGACCACCAGGGAACATGGGAGAATCCATTTGGATAACGAGAACCAGCCGGGAAGAGCCCTGACCCTGCCTACCCTCTGCTTTCCCCAAGTGCCCTACAGACACTCCCCTAATGTCATCCTCTGTCTTCTGTTGTGTAAATTCTCACTAGATCTGTCCCTACACACTCAGCTGCATGGGCCTAGAGCCCTGCTCGGTTCTTGCCATCTCTGCCCTGTGCAGGTGCAGATCAGAAGCTCAGTCATGTAATGAGGTTGAAAAGTGAAGCAGAAACCTCGGAACCTCACGTGGTGCAGACCAGGGAATCTCGGGAATATGCATTTATCAGGAAAACAGGAAAAACCACATGCACAGAGGAGAAGACAACAGCTCAGTCT